GATATCACTTGTATTAAGACTTTGCAGTGGCGGACCACTCGAATGATAGAATGCCAGGGTGGGTTAAATTAAGAGGGCCCGGTTAGATAACACGATTGTTCTTAATGAAGTGACACATAATAAGAGGGGACTTAATGCAGGAAATCATATTCATGATGGGTCACAGTTGCCTAAGGCCCACAGATCTCTTTGAACTCGCCGGATAGGAGTACTTGCGGGACCATTGTCTGAAATTAAAACAGCAAAGATAAAGGCTCGATGTAAGAGCTGTGCACTTGACAAACAGGGGTTTCGTCTAACCCGCTGCATTATTCTAGTGTAAAACGCTAGAGGAATTCACGTGGTGTCTTGACAAAAATTGGTTGACTCTGTGCCCGAATTGCTGTGAGATTTAATGGCTGTAACTTCATGAAAATGATGTGGCTGTTCTGATTTTGCTCCTGCTTTCTTCCATTACAGCCGCTGGAATCAAGTCGAATTGCTAGGTCCTTTGTCCCCCTTACTAGCACACGATGCGAGACGCTCGTTATGCGAAAGCCTGTTTTGCCATGTAATGCCTTGTACGCCAAGCTTCAGTTTGTTGATACTTTGGATGAAACATAATTTATACAAACAGACTGAGTTTATGATTAGCCTTGCATTGCCTTGGCAAAGTGTTTTTTTCGTTCCAAACTTTGTTGATTGATTTCCAGTGTTGTTTCGATTTGAGCACAACCAGGATACTCCATGATTTGTATGTTATAAGAGAGACCGCCCGTCTATCGGAAGGCGCGATTACAAATGAGCAAAACCCGTCCTGTAGTAATATTATACTAAAATTTAAAAAAAGTTTCATGAGAATCCAGTACCTAAATAAATTCATAACTAAAAACCAGCTAAAGTTAATATGAACGTAAAACAAAATAACAATGAGAAATGTCACACGCACTTCCAGTACACAACCGCAACTTGCGGTCTTACTTTGACATCCATAAAACATTTATTTTTGTACGCACATACGGTCATGTTCTCTCCATGCCTCCACTGCTTGCCTGTACCGAAGCTGCATAACACGGCGCTTATTGTTTGGAGTACCGTGAACCGGAAGGTCCGGTCATAAGTTGATGCGAATACCAGAATTGTGTGAATTCAGTGGATCTAGTTGATGGTCATTTCATGTTGCTATATTGATACAAGTGTTCTGTAGACGTAAAATGCCATACCCAACCGTGCTTCCTGCCCTGCACAGAAGTAATGCAACAGCTGCTCATCTTTTACTACGGGTTCTGCGTACGTTCCTAGTGCAATGGTAGGTGCTTACGTTCTCCACAACACAAATCGTTACACCTGCCAGTTGATCTGCTAGAGGCAGCCAGATGAACGCTACCGAGACAATTTTAGCTTTATTTGGTTGCATTATTTCCCATCTATCATTCAAGCTGGAAATTAAAACTCTCGGCGCAAGGCGCAACTTGCTGTACCCTATGGACTACGTGGTTGTTTCGGTTCTAGATTGGACTGGAGCCGGTGCATCTCTCTTGGGTCTTACAACCATCACAGATGGTATCATTGAACGAACCGGAGCATAAAGCAACACATTACAGGTGATAACCCTTTTTGACCGGGCGCTGAGTTTATATCAACCATCGCTGTGTTTAATCCAATCTTCTAAAAATCCAACAAAGACATCTTCAAATGAAGTCAAGAATGCAAATGTCCCGCCAACCAGCTGCATGGGGGCAACGTTTTATCCCCATTTCGTAAAGTTGGCGTTGAAGACGTTCTTGCTGATGTCGAATCAGGAAACTGTTCGCATTACTGGCATCATTATGCGTAGATTTTCAATCTTTGCTACCTGTTTGCACACGAAAACGATTTAGACTTCTCCTTCCAGTATCCCTATGCAGGTTCATATTTGCTGAGCATCCTACTTGAGCGGATACATGAAGAGGGGAATTACATTGCAAGATGTGCCACCACAGGTGACTCTTTATTCCTATCACCCACTTCCTTTAGGTATGCAGCTGATAGGACACATAGATTTTCCACTGGACGGTAGACGTCAGCAAAACTACTACCGCCGCCACATATATCATGCAAATCTCCGCCACAAAGTAAACCCAGCCAAGCCGTTTCTTATGTACTTCGTAAAACGTATAACGACATAACGGACAACCACCACGGTCATTTGCTGCAAACCGCACAATACTTGAAAGAGGAAGAGATACCCACAAAATATATACTAATGGGACGTGCATATATTGGTTAATCCAAAGCACGGTCCATAATAGGTCCAAGTACGTGGCCATTTGCCTTTTCTCTGTAATCATAAGACAAATGCTGGAGCAAGACTCACACGTATCACGCGAGCATAGCAACAATGGCGGTCTAATGGGTTGAAGTGCATCAATGAGGATGCTATGACCTAACAAAAGCTGCTAAGCTTGTCTCTATTTATATGAACATTTCCACAGATTCCTGCGTTGGAATAATCGCGGGCGGCAACTTAAAAATGGACACCGTCCGCAGAATGAGGAAACCTGTGTTGTCGCGTTTTGCAGTGATGAAATTACTTTCGCTGGCACTAACCATAAGTAGACACTTAATCCACCAATAAGCTACGATGATTTTAAAGTAAAGCTTCAATTATGCTGCGGCATAAAGTTTTGTCAGCTACCTTCTTGCAACGCTTCCAAGCCAATGGTGCTACCCCGCAAGTAGCAGACCGCATTCGCTATCTCTTGCGAAACGTGCGCTCCACTTGTCATGCGACCAGGTACGTGCAAGTGGCTGAATGCGTTCTGAGATAACTCTGTGCAACCTATGAATTATGTTGGCTGATTATACAGATGAGCGCTGGTGTGAGTGAGCAATCTATGGCAACTGATGACCTAACTCACTGAGCATTGCAGCACATATTGTATATAATGACACTTTTATGCAATTCGTGCATAGGTATTTTTCCCTGAGATACATGATGATCGTTGTTAGCGCAACAGTTGCCACAGCACGGCAACCGGCAAACCTCGGGCAGTCAAGACTTACTTCGAACTACATTTCTCTCTACACAGCAGGCGACAATTATTTCAGCTATCTAATGAGGTGGCTTGTTGGTATGCATAATGCACGTATCATTCTTCCCTCAACGTAGTAGACTTTACTGTGGTGGGGATAGGCCCCAACGGTGGGCCGCTAGAGAATGTCTAGGTCTCTGCTAATAATTCATGAATAGCGCTGTCAAGGTCGTGCAAGGTTGGCCGATGATTGGTGGAATCCAGACGGAATTTCCATTGGCTCTACAAAAACGTGGCCAGTTTGGTTGGCACCCATGGATTTTCACGTAGGTGTTGACATGATCATTCCAAACTACACCGTGACAGCGTTTTGGCTGAATTCTACGCCAATATCTACGCCATATGTCAGCTGGGTTTTACTAAACTCGGAAACCTTGGTGTACTGGGACACTACAAAAATAGTTAAGCCATGATTTTATCAGACATAAAGCAGGTTTACAAATTCAGTACTCGGATTTAGGACGTGAAATTTTTCAGGACGTTTTGTTGAAGTTGATCCCTGGTCAGTGTTGGAGCAATCTTCACTATTTAACAGCGTCCATTTCGGGAATTATCCTGCAACGAATGTGAAAAATGAATGGAGATTAGCATGACTTCAGTGCCGATAAAGACATCATGTGCAGCATCAGGTAACACACTGAAACAACGATCGACATTTGTGCCCTCTCAAAATTAGTAGTTGATTTGCATCACAGTTGTACATTTGGCGATCATTCCTGCACCAGAAAATGCTGTAAATTACCTAAAGATGCCGTGACAAGCGTCTCAATGTAAAAGCGAATAAAAATTTGTGTATTTATTTAAAAGCAAAACAACTGGTGGTAAGATTCGCTAGCTCAGTTGATTCCACTAACGCGTCAACTTCGCTGAACCAGAGAGTTGTCTGCAACTTCCTACAGAATGCAGTAAAGGGCATAGTCAGTGGCTGTTGTTTGCTGATTATTTGGGCAGTCCCACAAAATTCGAGCTTGTGATAAATTTAGTCGTTTGCTATGAACAATCACACTGTATATTATTAGTAGCATTTCTGTGGTGATAAAATTCCAAACAACGGTGAACGTTCGTCTATCTCACTGGAAATGGACCTGAATATCTTACACAGGCGGAGTGTGGATCAGGGAAACTTTAGTATGCCCTGACGGAGATAAGGTCCTGAAACAACTTGAAGAAATGGCTGAAGATAGCTGTTGGTGTAGTAAACGCCTACCGGCACCGATGCCAGCTGCCTAAGAATAAACCCACAAATCCTATATACCTTCGCATTGTTACTAGTTCTGCAGTAGACGTGATGCTCAGTATACGTCATTTAGGCACCGGTTTAGTGCAAGTGGAATGCAAATGATTACTTCCAGATTTACTGCCTACACCTTCCATCTTTATCCGTTGGAATTCGTCTGCTAGGAAACCTCGTGCTAGGACGCTCGCTCCAACCTGCTTTATTTGTTCGCGTTTTATTATAGCCTAGAACATAGTCAGATGTGCTCTCTGTTATTGGTTTTCACTCGTGTGCCTCATGCCAGAGTGGAATTTACTAGCCCGTTATCTGCAACACAGGTATGTCGAAAAGCAATACATTGGCTTTGGGCTCTTTTGCTCGCAAGTGATCCTGTGTGTGTTCTTGCTGTGAACTTAATTTCGTTCTTGCTGCTGTGTGACTTCGCGCAATCGTTGCTGCTTAGTTAAACTCGGGACACTTCCAGTTGGGATTTCAGCGTGTGCTTGAAGTGCAAGTTCCTGAAGTTCATTGGCTTATATATGCAATATAAATATTCGATAATCTCTCTTCGTATCAGAACTTAGATTCCATCGTTTCAGCAACTTCAAACACAACAATTCAGCAAAATGTCTTGCGCTACTGTGGCTCAACTAGAGTAAATTATTTTCCGCTATGCCGTCATCATTTAATGACAACAATGATCATGAACTACCGAAGAAGACAATAACTCACTACTCCTCCAGCGACTGCTCCGAGATCACTGATGTCAGGCGCCGGAAACAGACTGACGTTTTGAATTTGCAGAAAGTGTTCTCATTCTCAGGACTGCACTCGTTGAATAGCACGGCAGTGGGTTGGGACCTCATCCACCAAACGTGCAATGCTATGGCCAAAAGCAAAATGACGGTGAGGGTTCCTGTGATAGCGCCAGCAATGGATGCCCAAAAAGGCAGTTGCTTTCGCAATTGTAAAACCGTTGTTTGTAGTCGGTCCACGGTATTTTTGTCTGCTGAAACATGCTGGAAAACGGAAACAAATAAGCTTTGACAAAATTCAGACATTACTATAATACAAATTGATACGCTACGGACTTACAGTTGACATCCAGGCAATAGGCATGTAATAAGGCCCTGCCATTGTACCGTAGCTCCTGAAAGCAATAAGAAAGAAACGCAGGTTACCAAAAGGTCTACGCATTAACTATTGATAATGTCATACAAAAGAGGGCAGGATAAGTTTGCTTTCCGTTACTAGCTTTTTACGTGTTTCGGACCTAACATTTAAATCAGTAAGTTTTGAAACGCAATGCACTGATACAGAATACCTATAACCCTAATACCTCCGGTTACACAAAACTTACACTTCAAGGAACAGCAATTAAAAGTCTGGCGTAACGCCTATTCGAATGATTAGCAAAAGCAACTTTAGGTCAAAATTGAGCTTTTTTAAGTTCCTCTGTAGAAACTGCATAGGTAAAAGCCAACTGCCGTGTCAGTTTTGTTCACGTAAATTCTCGGAAATCCAACGTATGTTCAAACACGCTTCTAACATCCGTAGTTCTCAATTGCCTTTATACAAACGCCCAAGGGCTTCTAAGCAAATTGGCAGAACTTCGATCTCGTCATAGCTCAATGTGTTGGGATCTCATCATGATAACTAAGACGTGGCTGGACGACATGATTAGTGACGCTGAGATGGAACTACCTGGCATATCACTACTGCGTAACGATCGACCCACCAAGGGCGGCGGTGTAATTCTCTACTACCGTTCAGACCTTCTCATCGAGCTCATGAACGACCCTGGGATTCAAACCGTAGACTCCTTATGGTGCTGCCTACACCTAAAGCACGGCGATAAATGCTTATTGGCCATCGTATATCGTCCACCAATGTCCACTTTAGAAATGGACAAGGCCCTGTCTTCTGCTTTGAAGAATTTACTGGAACGGTCATACAGTCATGTTTTGCTGGTAGGGGACTTCAATCTGCACGGCCTAGAAACCCCAGCCACCATGAGTGAACCATTCAAAGCCGATCTACAAGAGCTAATTGCAGGATCACCGCTGTACAACCATGTTACATCCCCAACGCGATTCAGGACAGGAAACAAACCAGCCACCTTGGACCTCGTTTTCACCAATGAGGAACTGATGATTGACGTAGTAACCACATCCACTCCCTTGGGCCGCAGCGATCATGCGACACTATTGTTCCAATACTTGTGTTATGCAGATTATCCTAATGAAAGCAACGTGGAATCTTACGTCGTAACCAACTACGATAACCTGGCAGAACTCATTAGTGCTACGAGCTGGTCCTTCTTAACTGAGTGGTCCCCAGAAGTGGCATGCGGGAAATTTTTCAACAAATTCAACACGCTCGTAGCATTGGCATCTAAAACCAAAATCCCCCGACCCGACAAGGCGAAGTCGTTTCTTAGAAGCAGGACCCGGAAATGCATGGGATTGAGCGATCTGGCATGGCGCGCCCATATAGCCTCTCCGAGCGAGGATACTTGGAACACCTATATTACACAAAGAAACCACTGTGTCACACTCGTCAGGGAGGATAAGGTAAAGAGCCAACAAGATCTTGTGTCAAAGTGCTGCGTTAACCCAAAGCTACTATACAGACACATAA